AGCCTTGGATCTAGATTTCGTGCTAGTTGGCACTCATCAGCAAGGCGTATCTGCAAACTTGAAGGAACTCATGTCCCTTCTGAGATTCGAACCCGCGTCACCCAGTGCTGCAGTCAGAGATGTTACCACTGTGCTATTCGGGCTCATTCTGCACCAAACAAAGGACTAGACACATCATACTAGTTACTAGTGTCAAATCAAAGTATCCACTACTTTCCTACATGAGGTCAATCGCGAGCCCGAATAGCTCAGTGGTAACGTCTGTCACTGCAGCACTGGGTAACGCGGGCTCGAATCTCAGAAGGGACATTAGTTCCCTCAAGATTGCAGATACACCTTGCTGACGAGTACCAACAAGCACGAGACCTAGGTCCAAGGCTTTCTGCCGATCGCCTCCAACTATCTAATATCATCAAATCAATGTGCACCGTGATGGCGAGCTACCTAGAATGGTGGCCACATTGCAAAACCTGACTGACAGCATTCAGTCTGCACCAAAGAAAGGACTAGACACGTCACACTAGTTACTAGTGTCCAATCAAAATGGTGTGTTACTTATATTTAAATTGATGTTTTGATTTTGTTTAAGTTCAATTTTTCCTAATTGGATCAGTTAATAAAGACACCAGTCTTTTGTATATTTTATTGGAGCTAATTTTTTTAGCGCAGTGTGTTTATCTCTGACTTAAATTCTCGCTTGGTTTCATGAAATATCATCAGTTTTCAGCCTGTTTTCTAATCATTTCAACAAAATATGTCAAATAATAGTCAGAATATTTTGATTTAACACTAGTAACTAGTGTGGTGTGTCTAGTCCTCTCTTTGCTGCAGACTGAATTCTATCAGGCTTCCCGCCGATTGCTTCCAACCATCTAGTATCATCAAACCAATGTGCACCGTGATGGTGAGCTACCTAGAATGGTGACCACATTACAACCTGACTGATAGAATTCAGTCTGCACCAAAGAGAGGACTAGACAAACCACACTAGTTACTATTGTCAAATAAAAAAAATATCCACTACAGTCCTACAGGAGGTCAATCGCGAGCCCGAATATCTCAGTGGTAACGTCTCTGACTGCAGCACTGGGTGATGCGGGTTCGAACCTCAGAAGGGACATGAGTTCTTTCAAGGCTGCAGATACGCCTTGCTGACGAGTGCCAACTAGCACGAAACCTAGGTCGAAGGCTTCTTTTGGCCGATTGCCTCCAACCATCTGATATCAATAGCCAGAATCTTTACTGTCTACTGTCTAGTCGTATTTTTTTGTTCATTTCATCAAATTCTCAATTCTGCAAATTCGTTTGCGATTTGAAATTTGCGCAACTCGAGGTGAAATCGTTTCACAGTTTTTTTTTTCGGAAACAGAAATTATTCAGATTACAATACACAGTCTACTTGATACCATAGATGACAACCAAGAAGGCGAGACACTATGCACTATTGATTGTTCAATGTGAGTAGAAGTGCTCGCTAACCAGATCTAAACACTGGAGGGGCTGTTGCTCTCGAGGGAAACTAGTTAATCCAAGTAGCTAGCTAGAATTGCAGTGGTTTCAACTGATTCAGCTATCTGAGCTGAGTCACCCTGAGTACAATCCCGATGAGCTCAGCGCCAAACAAACGAAACAGCCGTCTGGTCTATCTGATTAATTAAGCATAATTATTCGTATCTATCAATCATACATTGGTGTATAGTATCATGCATTTGTGTTCTTTATTAGATTTATTTAGTTAGTTAGAACTCATGTTCTAGACTTTGATCCATATTTACTGTGTGAGAACAAGTGGTACTGTAACAACAGAAGACAACGGCCAGGCAACAGATCGTTTATTAAGGAAAATCAACACATATTTATAGATTGTAGATAATGGTTAGTAGAAAATACAGTCTTTTGATTGGTTGTTTCTCACAGAAAGTTAACCTTGCATCTCTTTGTGGCTGTGTCACATCATCCATATGCTAACTGTATCCGCCTACGCAAAGCCTTTGTTCTCATCTTCTCATCACCAATATTGGGGACATAAACATTGACGTCAATTACTGTCTACCAACTTTGGCTAGCAGCCAGCTCTCACCACAGTACTATCCACTTTTTTTCTGGTTGAAGTTGGGGGATTGGACCCATTAGCTGGAAGTCGAGTGCCTAAGTCAGTGAGCTGTCACTACTGTCTTTTGATTAGGATAAGTTTTAATTTTTGTACTTACTGGTTGTGTATAATAAGAAGTCCCTCAAAACTCATCAAATAGATTTCATTATGGTGTATAAAATCTTTCAGTGAAACGTTATTATTTTGATAATTGGTAAGAGATTACTTGGTAACTGTCGTCACAGACTGTCATTGTACAACACGACGTACAACTTCGACGTTGATTCTAACTTCCGCTCAGGTAGTCGTGATCCACTAATAGATGCTAAATTAACGCAAATATCCTCCACCTCACCGCACCACATCAGTATGGTGACTATATCTTCAGCTGCTTCTAGTCAGTTACAGAGCTAAGAAACTGTGATGTCTATTGGAGTTGTTCTTTTGGTATTCATAACACAAGTACGAGGCGCTAAAGAGAACTTTATAAGTCGGCTGTGTCCATTGACAGACAGTTGTCAATTCTCTCGAACGCTTACTGAATGCAAACTCGGTATGCCCATCTTAGAGAGGTTGAGTTTCGCAGGAGTTTGATAAAACTTCGCTCGCTGAGATGTTTTAAATCTTGATTTTCTTGTGGTTAACCTAATTTTGTTACTGTTCTATTGACATAATCTGTCGCTGCTTTCGGTACATGGTTATAAATCTTATCGCTCAAAGCATTCACAAAACTACTTGAACTTTTTGACTACTCCTTGTAGTTTACTGTGAGAATAACTGCCGATCTCGTTGATACGAAGAGATACTATTAACCCATTGACTGATTTTCATTATAATAAAGGTTTTTTGTATTTCCCAATGAATGAAAAACAAAACGATATTGTTTTTATTGACGTTTCGCTATTCAATGCTAATAGCTTTATCAAAATATTATTAAACCAGAATTTACAAAATCTCAGTTTATATATAACAACTTAATGATCGTTCCCCAGCATGGGGTCATTTTTGTGTTTTCAAGTTGGCCAATTGGTAAAGATAACAAAACCAGATGTAGATTGTTGAATTCGATAAGTGTATAAAATTATAAAAGCAGCATGTGTTTACATAATGAAATCGCATATCACATTTGTGTTGATTTTGTCACTTCATGGGGGAGGGAGATCTTGTAGCCAGGTCAAATTCTGTTTTAGTTCATTATTGCTATTTAGACAATTTGGATTCCACTTGATATGAAGTGCTTCTGATAATAGACGTTCTTTGTGATTTCTGAAATTTTTCTGGATTATTTCAGTATTGTCAAAATCAATTTTGTGGCCTGATTCTGTTATGTATGCCTAGTCATCGCCTTCCTCGACCGACAGGCAGTGTTAGCTGACATATGGTCAGTCTGGAAAAGAGCCAGTGGTGATCAAACCAAAACATGGCCATATCAGTCAATGAAATCCACAACAGTTAGTTTAAGCAATGTGGGAAGGTGTGGACTTCCTGGTTAGGGTCCTTGAGATGGAAAAAACCAATGGCTGGGGACAATCGGTGATATGGCTCAAAATCGTTCTCAGATGCATTCACTCCTTGTAACTTATAATACCCAATAAAACTATATGGTTCTTCGATATTACTATTCCTTTTGTCTCATATCCCTGTCTACTGTCTCTATTATGCATTTCTTCTACTTTCCTCTGTTGCTTCGTGTGCTGCATGGAGTGTGGCGACTTGAACTGCTGCAAATCGGTGCAAAGTCCTGTGTCGAAAACAGAACGATTCTATAGCGTTTAGACCTATGGTTGATGATTTTTTCAAGCTTTTCTAGTTCAACTGGATTTCTCAGTGGTCGGACAGATGCTTTACGGTGTTCATTTCTTCTGATTTTGATTTCTGGAGATGTTTGTCCGATGTATATCGCATCATATTCCAAGCATTTTATTTTATAGACACAATTAGATAGAGAATCATTAGGGATTTTGTCTTTTATATGGGCAAGGTTGTTTCGCAGTGTGTCTGATGTTTTGAAGAAAATTCTGATGTTGAGCTGATTGAGTACTCGTCTGATATCACCTGACGTCTCCGCTCTATATGGATTGACAACTGTTGAGGTTCATGTTTTCAGGATATGTGTTTTCGACCATACCTAATGTCAGTGTTGATTTTGTTGATGAGGTTTTTTGGGTAGTTGTTTTGCTTGAGAGTCTCAATAATGTTTGAAATTGACTGATCGTTATTAGGATAGTCTGTACATTTGTTTTCCACTGGTAATCTTCATAGCATATCTTGTAGGTGCTGTCAGCATTGGTGTATGTATACCTTCTGAATCATTATTAGCTAGTCTTATATCTATCTAACTTCACTGAGTGTCTGTAATACTGGAAGCAGTTAACTTCATTTCACCAATCTTTAGAAGGATGTTTTAATACAAGTAGAGGAAGCCAGACTTACATAGTAAAAAATGACCAAAGTTAAGACTAATATTCCCTTAAGTGGCAACAGTTGAGTAAATGTGCATTCATGTCAACAGTTGCCGAATCTAATGTAATATTTCTGAGTGTAGACTATCCTACACGCTTGAAATGTCACTCGAAGGTCCTAACTATATCTGTCGAACGTAGTCGTTTGTGAGTGGCGTACCGTAATGAGTAGTATTATTATTCAGTATGATATTTCTTTTTATTTGTTCTGTTTTGTTTATATTTCCTTCAATTTTTCTCTCCAGATGTGCAACCACAAATTCAAGAAAGTGAAAATCACCCTAAACTCTCCAATTCTGTAGACATTTTCACTGATGAAGTAAGTTTTGATCAGGTTTATTGATTTTAGTGCATCGAAAATCATTATTATTATTATTGTTATTAAATGTAATACACTTTGGTGTGAAGGATTACGCATTTCGCATTGGCCAATGCGAGTTGAAGACATGAAAAGGTTGACTGTTTTTGATCATAAATGTCTACGATCTCTTTCTCACGTTAGGTGGTATAATGAGGTAAGTAATGTTGACGTTAGGCATAGAGTGTTGGGCAGAGAGGGCAAATCAATCGGAGAGGCTATAAAGTTACATAGATTGAGATGGCTTGGTCACGTGCTGTGCATGCCTAACTATCGCCTCCCCCGACGGGCGTTACTAGCTGATATAGGTGCAGGTTGGAAAAGAGTAAGTGGCGGCCAAACAAGAACATGACATCAATCCATGAAATCCTTGACAGTTAAACTGAGTCAGGTAGGGAGATGCAGACTTCCGGGTTGGGGCCCTCGGGACTCTAAGAATCAATGGCTGGAGACACTAGGTGACATGGCTCAAAATCGTTGTCAATGGCTTACGCAGATGTATTCAGTCTCTGTAATCTTTCATATTCCTCTCTACTATTACTCACTCTGTTTCACTCTTATACTTGTCAAAACTCTACTGATTCCCTTCACTCATCTTCTTGTCTACCTTTGTGTGCTATTTGGAACGTGGCAACTCGAACTGCTGCACTTCGGTGCCAAGTTCTATGTTGAATCCAGACAGATAGAAGGTTTGCGCTGGTCCGTTTAACTTTTTAACTAAATAATATTTGAGAATAACTTGTCAACTATGAAGTTCATTAAATCCTATTTGTTTTACTCTACTTAGTCATTTGAATACTCTACTTACTCATTCAAGTAATATATAAATGTCAATTTTAACATTTTGAATTTCAATGCATTCTCTGTATTACGAAAGTAAAAATGCCTTATTATTATTATTATTATTGTTATTCGTCCTATCTCTACTCTCCCTTTCTCTCTCTCTTTTCAAGTTCCTTTTAGTTTATCGATCGCCTTCCCTTATATATATATATATATATATATATTCTCCCAGAAAAAAGAGTATATCTTCATTTTGAGATAAATATGGAATTTGTGGGCGTTAGATGGATTTTATATATGTGTGTATGACAAAGAAGGAAAGAGAGAGAAATTCTGTTTCCCCTTTATTTCCTTCTCTCGCCTTCTGACTTATTTATATATGTGTGTATGCATTCTCTAACGTCACAAATGGACCATAAAATTGTTCCTTTGTAATTACCCCATAATAATTGTCGGAGTGATTAGATTGATAAGCGTTTTGCTGACAGTAAGTAAATGTAATCATCACAGAATGATGATGATTTATTCATTATCCGTCCATATTCTTCTTCTAGTTAGAAAGTATTAGATAGATAAGTGGTGGAGTGAAAGTATTATATAGTATCTAACCAAAATCCAAGGTCTTTCAAAAGTTAACCTTCAAGAACCAATAAGATACAGCGAATGCTATGAAACGTTGTTCCAAATCAAATCATGCCTGCCTTTTTGAAGGTGTAGATACTGTATTCCAGTCATTCCCCTACGTACTTTTAGGTAGGGAATATGGCTTTTTAGATTAATGTTTAGGGTCTGGGGTTAAGGTTATAATTAGGGTCAAAGTTAGGATTATGGTTAGAGTTATGAGTAGGTTAAAGAAGTATTAGAAATATCAATAAATTCCAAAGTACCATGACTTACAGTCATCCGAATGAATGCATTTATCGCGCATGGTAGGATTTCTTTACACATCATCTGTATAATGACTGGGAGACATTCTTACAACACAAGCGACAACTGTGTAGTGTAATTTCACATTTGCAATACTTTTTAGTGCATTTTTCAACGGCTATGCAACTTTTTTGTATTTGAATTCTGATTGGTTGTTTAAGGACACTGTGGTTTTGCCTATGATAGTCTAACTTTGCCGGATAAGTTTGCTCTAATCATGATGATGTACTTCGCCTGATTACTTCAATTTTTAGTTATTCATAATTTATCGAAAAAAATATACATTGTATTAAGAAGTAGTACCTATTTTAGGATTATAGAAAACCAAAAAGACCTTGGACAGCTTTTTTTTCATTCTGACTTGTCAGCGGCACACTACCATAATCTCATTAGAAGACAATGGACTTCATTTCATTGACTGAATGATAATTGGTTTCCATTGTTATTGAAAACTTTTTTGGATTTAATTCCTCACAGAATCATGGTTACACATACCTGAAGAGTAGCGGGCGAGGACGAAATTTCTGTCAATAGTCATATTAGCTTTCTTACTGATCTTGGTTTGTGATGAAGACTACTTACTTTATGATGATGATCGATTATTTCCTAACAAACTCTAATATTTTTTAATGCTTTACTGTTGAATATCTCACTGAAGTTAAGGAACTTGTAGAAAATAATAAACAATGTTTAGTTTATTTGTTTTTAAAGAGTTAATTACGGCCTCATTAATATTTTACTTAATTTCAATTAAATTGAATTGAATACAAAGAAGTATCTTTTCTTCTTGTTTCTCCGTGTTAATCCATGACACTGAACAATGATCATGAAGTTAAAGGAAAAGACATGTGACAATCAGCTGATTATATTAAAATTCATATAACACATTCTACTTATTAAGAATTATCGACTAAATTTTCATTTACTAGTTTTCTATTTCAGAATGTGTATTGGAATAACTAAGCAGTGTAATTTCTCTCGCTTCACTGACAGGTACTGTCATAGAAATCCCCTCAAACGGGGATTTCCTCCAGGAACCATTGAAAATAGCGTATCATAGCAAGAGTCATTTTGAAATTAGTCGAACCCCCCCCCCGTCCTTGTAAACCTATCAGACGAAAAGATACTCAGTTTGTGTTAGAAATAAGCTTCGAGATTAATTTTACAAGTGTTATCAGTTGGATATATTACGTTGAATGTGATGAAAGCGCAGTCAACCACAGTTACCACCGGATTATGAAAGCACTCTGTCTCAAAAGTATATAAGCTGGAAAATTAGAGGCTGTTAGACTCACATCCACTGGTTGAGAGTTAGTCTGTGTGTTACGCAGCTTTACGGTCTTGAAATGAATCGTATATAGCTCCTTAGGTCCTCATTGCTGAAGGGTGTCAAATTAACAAATAAACAGTCGATCAGTATTGCAACTTGTTTTTCAATTTTTTTTCCTTCACGTTCCCCAATGGAACATAGGGCTTCAAGCTACAGACTTGAAGTTTCTGTAGCAGTGTTTATTTTACAGGATGGGGTTGCTAGCCTCATGCCCAACCTTTCCTCTTCACCAGCATTATTTCTGGCTTAGCGAGGTAAAGGAGTGCGTTGGTCGGGGATCGAACTCCGGACCATGTGTATGGTCGGCGAGCGTCCTAACCGCTATGCCATCGACGCTTAGGAGCTTTTCAATAGTAGCTGAAATCCGTTTCTCCCCAAGTTCAGACTTCTTTTTAATTGTCTTGTTATTGCTTTCTGTTGCATCTAAGCAGCAATATTCTGTTGGGTTTAAATAAATAAACTTTATGACAATAATTTCTACATGTAGGGTGACTCTAGACCCTACCAGTATCTATTTCTGTCTAGAATGATACTTGTTACTCAGTCATTTTAAAAGACATAAACATTTAGTTAAATCTTTCATTTACCAGAATATAGATTACCCCCGACTGTGTGTAACGGATATAAGTGGAAATGGACTTCAAAACTGAAACCCGCTGTCTGAAAATTAAGTATTAAAACTTTACCGTCACCACATAAACAAGTAGATTATGAGAATCAAACTTATTAGTTTCTTTACACAATCGATTGGATAATTTATATGAACTGTGTAATCAAGATTTGACAGAATACTTCCATAACAATTGGGTGGAATTGAAATAAATAATTCCACCGTCTTGTTCGGTAACCTGATCCGAACTTAATCAGGGAAATTAATCAAAGTTAAAATAACACAGGTATATATATATATGGACATGTCTTAAAATCCTTGTCCAGACATGTCAGTTGTGAATAGACATCAAAACAAAATTGTATGAACTGCGATCAAAATTTGACCACAGACTTATTATTAGTTTTCTTTTTATACACTGTAGAGTGTATACATTTGGATAAGTCTATGCTTTCTTACAAATGGCTTATCTATATCAGCAGTATTACTATTATTATTGTTCCCTTGGGTTCCTAGTGGAACATAGGGCTTCAACTGCACGTCTCCACTTGTTTCTGTCTTCTGCTGTATTTTTCACCTGCATCCATGTTAGTCCATACTGTTTCAACTCCTCTTCACACGATCTCCTCCATGTCACCCTTGCACTGACGTCCCACTCGCCGCTTCCCTTTCGGGTTACACTCGAGCACTGGCCTGACGTGCGATGTCACCCAGCGGCCTCCTCAGCGAGTGTCCAATCCATCTCCACTTTCTCCTGCATATTTGTTGGTCGATTGGTTCTTGTTTTGTTTGTTCCCATAGTTTCTTGTTGGTGATTCTTTCCGGCCATCTGATCTTCAGTACAGAACGAAGACAGTTGTTGATAAAGGTCTGCAACAGGCTGTTGGAAATATTCTTTGTGACACAGTGGCCAAGTTTCTGATCCTTATAGAAGAACTGACTTGACGTTTGTATTGAAAATCCTAATTTTGTTGTTGATGCTTGATTGGTTTCAGGTTGATGAATGTATTTCTCGCCTTCCCGATTCTCGATCTGACATCCTCGTCCGTTCCTCCTGTAGTTGAGACGATGAAGGTTACTTCATTCACTTATCTAGAGATCTATATCAGCAGTAGTTAACTGAAAGTTCACACAATATATATAAAGTACATTTTATAAAAAAAGATTGTCATTCGTTAGATGGATAACAATTCCAAGTTTGACACAGTTGTTAAATGGTTGAAGACAGTTGGTTGGAAGTCTTTGACCTAGGTTTCGTGCTTGTTGACTCTTTTTAGCAGAGAAACTCATGTCCCTGTTGCGGTCCCAACCTGTGTCACCTAGTACTCTTGTCAGAGACGTCACTACTGAGCTGTTTTAACTCTTGACCGACCTCGTGTTGAACACTAGGTAGTTACTAGTGTCATGTATATATAGTCCTTTGTTTAGAGCGGACTGAATTCTATCAGTCAAGTTTGCAGTGTGGTCATCTTACTAGATGGCTTACCATCACGGTACACTCTGAATTGTTGTTATTAGATGGTGAGGGCAGTCGGCAGGAAGTCTTTGACCTAGGGTTCGTACTTGTTTACACTCGTCAGAAAAGTGTATCTACAGTCTTGAAGGAACTCATGTCAAACGACATAACCATTTAGTTGGTTAGTTAGTTATATCCCATTTAACCAAGACAGATTTCTCATGTACCAGAATATAAGTATTTTCTGAAATATCTGTATCTTGGTCTATTATATAATTTTATTGATTATTCATGTAAACTATCTAAATATGTAATTGGACAAAATTTCTAACCTAAGATACATTCATTTCATCACAAAGAAACTATGTGCTAGTGAATGACAATGTGAATTATTGGTAACCAGAATTATCATAAGGACGAGTAACGCCTACAACTGTATATGAAATCACTGTTTTATAATGTATTATAAGCATTCTATGATTATCAAACTGGCACCTTTGATAAATTACTTAAATATTTGTCTAAATTCAGTAAAACTGAAAACTGCTTTTACCTTAAAATAACGATTAAGACTATTTATTCTTTCAAGTATTGGCTTTGTAGGGATTTTTGTTTGACTGGTTGGCGGATTTCATCATGAGCTGACA